AGCAACCTGACATGACTGACATGAGTCTTTAAGGGGGAGAATCAAATAAGCAGTATTATATTAACTACACAAAGTATATATTCAATTAGCTAAACTGCTTGTTATGGAAATCCCTGTGCTAAATGCATAAAATGCACACAACAAATAAAAAAAAAAAAGAAAATCTTTCTTTGTATAGTTTGCAAAGAAGGTAAGACCTGTGAAATACAGAGCATTTAGACCCAAAGAATACAATACCTGGATTGTTTATACGTATCAAAACGGCTCATAGAGAAGGTTTAACAGCACAGTGGAATGGCCTGAAAGCGTAGTATCCTTGAACAGATCCGTAGATGAGACAATGAGATACAGTTTGTAGACAAGGGATGAAAATACACTGTAAGTGAATGATCAGAGCCCATGAATCCATAGAAAAACATCAAAATGTCCGACATTCCTATAACCAGAACCTCAGAAAAGGAAAGACCAGAGGGACATCAGAGAAGCTGGTGTGTTAAACAGACAATGGCTGATTTAATTTAGGGATGTCCTACATCCATTGTAAACAGTAGTCCTAGAAGAAGTTAACTCTAAAGAAAGGAACACCTGATATGCAAATGTTATGTCATTAATCATGGAAATCAAATGAAATAAACGCCCACCCCCCCGAAATTAAATGGAAAAAAGAAAAAGCCCCGAAAGTATTTATAGAGAAAAATGACATAGCACTAGCTGCAAACATAACTAAATATGTGCCTACTTTTCTTATCAGAAATACCAATAAAAATGATGAAGTGATTGCATGATTCAATGAATTGTGTTACTCCATCACACAGTGCTGACCTACAGGACAGAGGAACTGATATGAGTCTGGTAAGTGATGGAATTCAGGCATGTGATGGGTTACACACTTAGTACCTCAGAGGCACAAGTGGTTCTAGCCCAACACCAGAAGATTACTGTCATATTGAAACTCACACATTTCTCAAGAAGGCAGAGGAAAACATATTTTTATGTGAAATTTCACAATATTTCCACATTCGCTCAAAATTGCTTAAGTGGCTGCATGGGCAAATCTGTGAGTGTGTGCATGGAATTAGGTTCCGTTTCACAGATATCTGACTAAAGGATTAACCATCTGATTTCAGGCGTCACATGAAAGAAGACAGGACAATTTGCAATTTTTATCCTGTGCTGTTTAGCATGATATTAATTTGAAATGATAATTGTCTGGACATTTAGAAATAAAGAGAATGTTATGGTGAAATTTATTAATCACTAGCTGATTCATAGCAGCAGAAAATCAACCATCACCGGGTACCTCTGTTGTAGATCTCACATCAGAATACAACTGCAACTGAAGTCAATGCTAAATGTCAAGGATGACTAATGGTTGGTTACCTACAAAAAGCCCTGGGGATCCTGGGAGACCGTTCAGTGAATAAAATGTTTGCCCTAAAAGTGTGAAGACCTAAGTTCAAATCCCCAGAATCCATGTGAAACCAACCAGATGCAGTAAATCCCATGTGTCTATAGTAACGTAAGGAGGCAGAGACAGAATTTCCTGGAGCTTCAAGGCTACCTTTCTGATGTACACAATGGTGAATAAGACATTTACTTCAGATAGAGTGGGAGATAAGAATCCATACTCAAGATTCTCTCCCAATTTCCACATGTACACCATGGCATACTTATGCCTATACACACAGATACATACACATACATACACACACACACACACATAGACAAACATGCACAATGCACATAGACACACAGACACACACATGCACATACATACAGACAGACATACAGACAGACAGACATACAGACACACACATGCACACAAACACACATGTAGGCAAAGACATACACATAAGCACACATACACACACATACACGCATACATACAAACACATACATGCACACATTCACATACACAGGCACACACACACACAGAGAAACATGGACATACATGTGCACACACACATAAGCACACACACATGCACACTGACACACAGACATATACACACATGCAAGCACACATGAACACACACAGAGGCACACACACAGACACACAGACACACTCACAGACACACACACACAGGCACACACAGAGACACACAGGCACACACACAGAGACATGCAGGCACACACAGACACACACACAGACACATGCAGACACACACAGACACACACACACACTTATTAACACAGCATATCAAGTACAGAGTTTTCTCAATATCTTAATTTTTAAATATTTTTTGCTTCAAAGAACAAGACCTCAACTCAGACACCTTCTGTAGTTATCTACAGTTGTCGTGCTGCCAATGGCAAAATTCAGGTTTCCTTGTAATGTTGAGAATCAGTAGCTGAATGCTTTATCCATCTGTGGGTTCTAAGAGGCACATAATTGATCTTGGTAGCAGAATAACTTTATCCCTGGAAATGGAAAGCTGTCAAAGTGGAGATTATCACTGTGAGGAAGGAACTCACTCGGCTTCACAGGACTCTGAAGGGTAACTCCCGAGTAACTCACTGGCTGTCTCAAGTCACAACTAAACCTTGGATTTTTCTTTATTTTCAATACAATCGATATTTCTCTAAAATGCATCGGTTGGCTCTTCTGCACTGGCTGCGTGGGGTTTTTATAGCATGACCTGAAAGACTAGGGAAAGGCTGACAAGCACACGGAGTTATTTGGGAAAGTCCACAGAGGGAAGCAGCAAATGGATTGGAAATGCAATGTGCATGTGGTCACTGGTCTTCCTGCTCCTGAAGGGAAAGTGTTGTTCTCACCCTCGACTGGTCAGATTCTTGTTCCTGACATCATTTCTTGCGCAACACTTCACAGAGACCGATCATCCTGAGGCTCGCTCCATTGGCTTCATCTTCTGTGACTGCTTGCACTCCTGCTCAGTCGTTTCTTTTCAGGGGGTAGACAGGACAAACCCCACATTCCCAAAGCCTTCTGTTGGCCTCATTATATTTTGTTTTTAACTCGTCTTTTCTAAGTTTCAACGAAGGTCATCCATAGCGGTCTCATTCGCACACAATGAGAAGCCACTCTTCTGAAATGAGCCTTTGCATTCCAAAACACCAGGCAGACACCTCACCTCAGGACCTGGTTTTCCCTCCTGAACTAACTACCTGACCTGAGGGAAGACATCTCCAATTAGTTCTCCAATGCCAATTGGTCAGCTCTGGAATCATATTCATACAAATAACATTATACAGACTGTGCAGGTTGTTAATCATATTTAGGAATATAGATATACATATATACATATACATATACATATACATATACATATACATATACATATACATATACATATATATATATATGTTTGGTGTGTTTGAATGCGTGTATAGCAACGATTCAAAAGGGAAGCATGAATTTGAGAGAGAACAGGATGGGGGAATAGGAGGTGTGGGAGAGAGGAAAGGGAAGGGGAAAACACACTTTATTTTTTAATTTCAGGACTTTTAAAAATGCAAAGATATGTACATGTGGTGTGTGTCATCATTTCCTTTGCATAACCAATGACAGCTGGACTTGAACGTGATCCCACAATCCATAAGCCCTGAATTTTATTCTTGTTTCTTCTTGTTTGTATAAAACTTTACTCGGAGTGCAGGGCTGAGCCATAGGTTGTGACATTAACTGCACTCCAGTGTATATACTCGATACAATTATGAACAAGAAGCATGACATAGAAAGCTCACATAAGAAGTAGGTCTGACTCTGTTTAGGTGAAGCCGTTATCTTCTAGAAGCTGCCTTGGGAGTTGTGAAGAAGAAAAGCTAGGACTCCGGTTGGAGTTTTATTTATTATCTGTTTATTTGAAGTTTTTAAAATTGAGAATAGATTCTTATCTTATACAATATACCCTGACCACAGCTTCCTCTCTCTCCACTCTGCCCAGATATACCACCACCACCTCCCCCTCTCCCCCAGATCCACTCCCACTTCATTTCCCTTCAGAAAAGAGTAGGCCTTCAAGAGATAAGAACCAAAAATAACAAAACAAGATACAGCAAGACAAGGCAAAGCTCTCTCATATATGAAGGCTGGACAAGGCACTCCAATAACAGAAAAAGGGCTCTAAGAGCAGGCAAGAGAATCAGAGACACAGCCACTCCCATTGTTGCTAATCCCACAAAAACACCAAGCTAAGAGCCATAACATATACTCAGAGGAACTGATACAGACCCATGCAGGCCTGGTGCTTGCCACTTCAGTCTCTGTGAGCCCATACGAATCCTGCTTAGTTGATTCTGTAGGTTGTGTTCTACTGAAGATTTTTAACTTTGTATTATGAGTCACTAGCAACAAATTATTTTCTGGCTAAAACAATTAGAAAGCCAATAGTGATGTCCTCTGGTCTAAAACAAACACACTGACCCTACTCACAAACAGCAGAGGCCACTGCCAGTAGCTCTGTCTTGTTTGGTATAGGGTTTGTATTGGCATGGGCAGGGCGTTATGGCTGTTCTATACTAAGAACATACATCCTGTGTATGCCAGGTGTAATGGCAGCAATACAATTATCCTTATGCCTCATGTTGTCTGTCTTATTTTTGTGCTGTCAGCAACGATTCATTCAGAACAGTGCTTCTTAACCTGTGGGTCTTGACTGCTCTGGAATCCCATATCAGATATTTTCCTTATCAGATATCTACAGTGTGATTCGTAACAGTAGCAAAATTACAGTTATGAAATGCCAAGTAAAATAATCTTCTGGTTAGGGTCACTATCACATAAGGAAGTACATTAAAGAGTCACAGCATTTTGGATGGTTGGGAACGACTTATTTAGAAGGTTCTGGAGTTCAGTATAAGGGAAATTTAGTAAAAACAACAGCAAAACAATCAAACAACAAATGGAACATCATGTCTACTTCCAAATTAAGCTTTTATAAATGAATCATAAGTATTAAAATGATGCAACTTTGGGGATAATTTATTAACTATCAGGTAACGCAAATAATGATTACAAAATTACTAATGTGAGTACATACCGGATCTTCTGGGTTGTACTGAATGACGTATTCTATCTGTCCATTAGGGCCATCGTCTATGTCTGTAGCTCCATTATCGCCTGAAAATCCCGTGAATATTGTGGTGCCAACCGGAGTGAGCTGGAAAGACATGAAGGAGAAACTGTTTTTGTTTTTTGTTTTTTTTTAATCATCCATATAAGTTTTCCAGTTCAAAAACCATCTCTTCATTAAATGGAGGAAGAGAGGTGAGTTGCCCAAATCAGACTCATAGTCCTGAAAATAAATAGGGAAATCTATCCAGTCCTCACACCAGAGTCCTTAAATGTCTTGAAGTTTATAGTTTCGAGAACACGATTTGATAGAGAAACAGAAAATTCGTTGAAAAGGCACATTTGGGCCATTTTACATCCATTAGCATTTCGGCACCCACAGAGACGATGCATCTGTTTTCATGTCCGAAGTTTACAACTTCAAGACCTTGATTTGTAAAGAAAACAGAACGTTCAGTGAAAAGCACATTTGGACCGTTTTACATCCATTAGCCTCTTAGCACCTGTGGAGAAAAATGCATCTGTTTTCTTAGGTAAAAAAAAAAAAAACCCAACTTTAATGTATAAAGTTATTCACAGGCTAGAATTTAAATCGAGGTTGGGGTTTCGTTTCAAAATATGAAATAATTTCAGAGTCACAGAACCCAGGTTGGTAATGCATGCAAGCGATAAGTTAACAAATAGCCATGATGTTTAAATCTACTCCTTCAGCATAAACCTTTCTTTTATATTTCCCTGGCTATCTTAAAAACAACACATTCAGTGACAAAATCCCAAAAGACTGGCCTTAAACTACTGGAAAGACAAAGGCATTCATTTAGTTTTGAAATTGTAAAGGTATCCCAAGAGATTAATGCTATTTATGATTTTTTTGTGATTTCTATTCACAAAAAATTATACTGGGTCATACTGACTCTTTGTTTTAGAAACTTCAAGCAGAAATACCACCCTACAGGAAATTTTATTAGTTTATATTTCAGAAAAGAGAAGGATGAGGAACAATGGCTTTGTTGTCTCAATAGAGAAAGGGGGATATGATCTCCTTATCGGTACACAAGATCCTGTGAGAAGGGGATTTAAGTCCTCAAAAACTACATTGCACGCTGTAGTAAAGTAGACAATTTTGTCATATTTTCCTCTTCGTGTTACAGTTTCTTTTTATAATTACAGTAAGAATTCAATTAATCTCCAGGTTCCAGAATGTTTACAGTGTGAAGGAGGAACAGGCTGGGACACAGCCGTGTGATCAGCTCAGCGTTTGTACAGATGAGTGAGCGTTGCTCTGTTCAATATCTGTGTGTTTACGCCAAACGTCTTAGTGCAGGTGGGTCCTGCTCATTTGTACTACTACAGTATGCTAGCAGGCAAGTGTGTGTGTGTGTGTGTGTGTGTGTGTACACGTGCAGTAGTGCAGTTCTTTATGATCTGCTGATGATAGACCTGCCTGACCCATATTAGAGTCCAATGTGCTTGATGCTGATAGAAGAGCAATATTTGCACTAAAGGAATGAGGTAGGAGGATGCAAAATTTAAAAACAAAATCTGTAGACTTTAAGGCAAGTGAGATGATTAGACCATTAACGGGCTTGCCACTCAAGCAAAAGGACTGGGTTCCAGGTACTCAAAGTCCAGTAGTTCTAGTCCTAGAAAGCAGAAGAGGGGAATCTCAACAAGCTGACTAGAGAAACAGTCTAGTGTCTAGGTGGTCTCTGGGTTTGATTGAGAGAGTCTGCCTCAAAGAATAGGGTATTAGACAATCCAGGAAAGTTGCAGACTCCAGTCTTAGGCCTTCACAGGTACATTTCCTTGCATACACACACACACACACACACACACACACAAAGAAAGAGAGAGAGAGAGAGGCACACATGTTTACATGGACGCTATATGAATACACATGAAAAGAAAAAGACAAATGTAAGATCAATAGACTTAAATATTTAATTTAATTTATGTGTGTTTGTTCCCACCAGAAATATGCTTGAATCTTTGGACCTTCATGCCTAGGTATGTGGTGTGCATATGCATGTGCATGTGTGTGTGTGTGTTTAAGCATATATCCATGGTATACGTCTGCACTAGAAATGTGCTTATATGTTTTTATGCATGGCTGTGCACATGCACCATGTTCTCATGTGAGCTTTCCTTTCTGAGGCGGCACAAATGCTGCTACTTTGTAAACGCTCCAGCATATTGTGAGTGTGTAACCCTCAATATCCCCTGCTCTTGTATAGTCTGTCCTTTCCTGTGTGCTAATAGTAGTTTGGGGGCAAGACTACTTCTACACAAATAAGAATGTTCTCTATCTCTTCATAGTGCAATATGTCACATTTCAATCTGGTTTTTGAAGGGCCCTATATACAACAAGACCAGCCTGGACAGATGCCTGAGGGTGCCACTTATTTATGCCATTCATAACTTTTCCCCACAAATCATTTACACAGTTAGCCAGAGGGTCATAAACTATACAGATTAATTGAAAATCGAAAGCTATAGAAAAAAATCACTGCCCAGATAGTAGAAGAGTTTACAAAGATTCAACAGTGAAAAAGTTTCTGGCATACATAAATGATAAATGCCTCAAGAGACAGGCAAGTTTAGGCTGGTTGAAATGCTATGTTGTAGGTTCATGTGTGTAAACCCCAGGCAGGTGTGCCTCAACAGGTATAAGTTAGTTAAATAGATACGTTATTTATTTAATTAAAATGCTATTGTTTCTCCACGGTTGAGGTGATGAGAGATTTTTGTTTTGACTTGTAAAGTTATTTTTTTTCTAAAATGTTAAGTGTAATGGCTATTCCTGGTTGCCAACTTGACTATATCGGAAATGAACTACAGTCCAGGATTAGAGGACACACTTGTGATCTAGATTTTGAGGCTGAAAGACACAAGTTTCTGACCTGGGTCTTGGAATGAAGATCTTGAGGCATAGTGTCCATGATAAGCTTAGGCCCAGGCAAAGTATTATAGGTCTTTAATCCCAGGAGACTGGGGCAAGATCTCTGAGTTCAAGGTCAGCCTGGGACAAAGCAAGTCTCAGATCCAGGTGTGGTGGTATACACCTTTAATCTGGGCCACACATTTGGCTGGAGACCTTCATAAGGACATTGGAAGAAGGAAGATTCATTCTTTTTCAACTGCTTGCACTTACTTGCCAGTACATCTGTTGGAACCTACTTCTACAGAAAACCAGCTGAAACAGCTAGCCTTGTAGGACTGAAAACTGCTAGATTCTTTTTTTTCCATTAATACAGAAAATTATTTATTTTTTGAATGTGAAAGAAGGTGACTATGGGTATGTACAAGGAAAGAAAAATAATTATCATTTATTTCTATTATTATTATTATTACTATTTAACAGATTTCTGTCTAGATTTTCTTTTTTTTTTTTCCTTTTCTTGGAAACTTTATTTATTTACATTTCAGATGTTATCCCCTTTCCCCATTTCCCCCTGCCCCTGATACCCCTATCCCATCTCCCATCCTCCTGCTTCTATGAGAGTGTGCCCCTACCCACCCACCCACTCCCATCTCCCCACCCTTGAATTCCCCCACACTGGAGCATTCCAGCCTTCATGGGACCAAGGACCTCCTCTCCCACCTATGCCTGACAAGGCCACTTTCCCCTACATATACAGCTGGAGCCATGGGTCCCTCCCTATGTGCTCCCAGGCTGGTGGTTTAGATCCTGGGAACTCTGGTTGGTTGGTATTGTTGCTCTCCACATGGGGCCGCAAACCCCTTCAGCTCCTTCAGTCTTCTCTCTCACTCTTCCATTGGGAACTACTTGATCAATTCAATGGTTAGCTGTGAGCATCCGCCTCCGTATATATCAGGCTCTGGCAGAGCCTCTAAGGAGACAACTATATTAGGCTCCGGTCAGCATGCACTTCCTGGCATCCACAACAGAGTCAACCTTTGGAGACTACACATGGGACGGATACCCAGTTGGGGCAGTCTCCAGATGGCCCCTCTTTCAGTTTATGTTCCACACTTTGTCTCCATATTTGCTCCCCTGAGTATTCTTGGGCTTCCCATTCACAGCTGACCATTATTGAGTTAGTTAGAGTACAACCTGTAAGCCATCACAATAAATTCCCTCAATATAGAAAGACATACCACAAGTTCTGTGACTCTAGAGACCCCTGACTAATACATTAAGCCACTGGTTTATTTAATGAACAGTAAGAAGCAGTAAGAATAAATACAATATTACTTATTCTGTTTATTGTGCTGCCATCGCATGACACACATCTCCTGCCCACCTAAATTGATTTTTAACAAGAGTCTCAAAGAGAATATTTGCCTTCACTAATCTCCCTTGATTTTCCCCAGAGAATAATTGTGTTCGCTGTTTGATTTATATGTTCGTACAGTTGTTATTTCTATATGTGGTTCTTAGGTTGCATAAAATTTCCATGAATGCTGAATTAATGAATGACAACTTTGAAGCCCCCAAGGAATATAGGAGCAGGCTGTAAGCCTCTGCTTACACGTTTTCTCTCAGCTAGCCAATATAAAAATCTTTCTTATGTGCTTCTCTACAAAGAAATTTAATGTGGAGCTTTGATTCGCTAACAGGGCAGCAACACAAGCCATGCCTGGATGAAGCGGATGTGACATCCACATTTTATCTATGAACCCCGTTCTGTCTTATTTTGCTTGGGGACACTGGGAGGCATGTGATCACAACACTTAATGGTCATTTTAAACAACAAAACCATCAACAAAACATCAAAAAATATGAAAAAAAAATGTCACAGTCAGTGAACTGTAAAGACAATTGCATGTAGCATGAGAGCAAGTATAAAGCAGCAAAGTGTGGGGTGGCACAACCCTCTGAATGCATAAATCAGTCACCTTTCTTGTGTAAGAAGCTTCTTCCCTCTTCTGGTCCTCCCCCAGTCCACCACCATCTATGAATACAGGAGCCTAATTCCAGACCCTCCTCATTTGAGGATCATTTGCTAGGTAAGTCTCTTCTCCCCTCTGACATCCCTGCTCCTTTATCTCACCATGATCTGCAAACTCAGAAGCCCAGTTCCAGACATGGACCCCCTGAACCCTCCTTGTTCCTGAGTGTGCTCT